ACGGGTCCCTTCGGTGCCAGCGGTGTAACGATGTCAATGAGATGCTGAATTTGTTGCTGCTGTTGATTCTGGCGTTCCATCATTGTCTTCCAGTCAGGTTGAAGCTGATCGACGACTACTACTTCGGAGCGGACTGCGGGAGATGCTGATCAGCGACGCTTACGACTGAGTCGTGGTTTTGGCTGCTGCGTGCTGCTGCCAGCTTCTTGGCCCGAACGAGTTCTTCTTGAATTCGGTTTACGGCCGCGCGTGGCACCTTTCTTCGCCCCAGCCATAGTAAAAGAAAACTCAAAAGTTTTATCAGTCGAAACGAGAACGAGAACTAGCAAGAACGAGAACACCTAATCGAAACGAGACCAGCGAAAAACAGGATGCCGTTGAAAATGAAAATGCAAAGTGCAGAAAGCGACATCGAACGCAGCTGCGCTCGGCACACTGCGGTGCCGGTGAGTACAAGGTGTGGTACAGGGAACACGACCTCAGCGGTAATTTAATTTCCGCTAATTCTTAACTAACATTTAAAATTTTTACAGATAATGTGCATCGAATATGGATCCAATGAATTCGTCACCTTTACACAATCTGCGTTTATACACAATCCTTGCGTTGTCTGGCGAAGCCCAACTACAGCTAGGCGACCACCTTGGCCGCTTGGAGGTTGGGCCGAACGTCGCTCGGAGCTTAAGGGTATTAGCCTGACGACGTAGGTGCGGAAAAAAAGACTTACACCGTATAAAGATTTATACCAAGTGTAACATTTTCAGTTCAAATCCTTCACAAAATACCATGAGAATGCCGATTACTCCCATGTTGGCCGGCCATCGTGTAGGGCAAGCATCGAAAATTCCCAAAAGTGCTTTGAAAATTCCCAAAAGAGTTTGATCAGACTTAAAACACTATGATTGACGAATATGGGAGTGCTGATTCATATGACCCTTAGTGTCATTCTCATCTGCCAGGATCCCGGCTCTAAATGGATTTTATTGCTTTTGAATTTCATTGGCAAAGTCGTTTTTTCGAAGCAACGGACAATAGATGCGCAGAACAAGATCACACAGCTTCAACCGCAAAACATACATATTTATTTTTTTCAGCTACATTCGACAGTGACGCGCGTATATCAGCAAACGGCAATGTAACGTGCGGCAAAGACGTCCGGGATTACAACGTAGGCACGATGGGAGTAGGTTACCCCTTTACTCCCTGCGATACAGACTTGGAATATTCCCAATTCCCCCGCCACTTTCAGCGCAGTACTAAGCTGCTTCAGTGAGCATTGTGTGAATATCGGCACCACTTTTAATGCGCACACAAACAGGTCAACCAGACAGGGACGTCTTGCAAATAGGAACTACTGTATCGGGAACCCGATAAAAGCAAAACGGAAGGGCGAAGGAAGAATTGACCTTATGAATCCGTAGAAAATTACGCCAAAGCATCAGCGACTGACTCAACAAGACCGACGTCGTCGCCAATAATTTTAGTAGAAGGAACATATCAACAATGCGTCATAAGAAAACCGAAAACAGCAATCTGGGCACAAAAACTTTGAAAAAAGTTCGCGACCAAAAAACGATGATGTAGTTTAAGTTTATGATGCCTGTTGTACTTTTGCTTGAAAAAAAGCTGATTACGTACACTACAAGTAGATGTACGCTTATAGTCTTCTACTGCTCTCTGTTTGGGGAAAAGTTTTTGTTTCGGGCGCAGTCTTCATAATAAGATCGCGCTTGAATAAAAATTGCTGACTGATGTAGTTCACGATGTGCATAACTAGTTTTGTATTTTTAGTGCTGCAGTGGTTTGCCACCTGCCCGGGCAGAAGAAACCGGACAGTATGCAGTATCGGTGAGAGGCATTCCGCATCAGCCCTATCTATCGCAAGTTTTACCTTGCCGGTAAAATTCCAATGGACGAAGTTCCTTTTTATTATGCTTGTAAGGACGAGTACAATAACCTTGTCAACGCTGGAACTCGAGAATGGCCACCGCTGGCTCATCGGATCCATGTCTGGTTGCACAAGGACGATAAACAGGAGGGTGAAGAGCTGCGCCGTCAGTTAGCTCTTGAAGCCGCCGGGGAAGGCGAAGCGGACGGGACGGAGGACGACGAGATGGGCCAAGGAAGAGGTCGAGGTGGAAAGGAACGTGTTGGACAAAGCGAGAACAGTGGCCGTGGTCGTCGGGAAAAGAAGTGAGACGATCGGTGTGAATGAATACGGAGGACGACCATAATTGTTTTTGTATAGCTTTGGCAACTTACTGTTTCGTTGTTCTGGTTGTCTTATGCGAAGTGAAATAATTTCTGGTGTTGTGATATATTGCTTTGGTAAAGAACGTTGTTTTCTTCGTACAGATTGACAAGCTGGACTTGGTTGTTTAGTTTCAAAAAGTTAGTAGCAGAAACTTCAAGCGGGAGAACGACGTTTTTCGATTTTGATCTCGACAGCGTTATTACGGTAGAACCTAGATCTGATCACAGTCTCGTAGATGCAGATCAGCAAAATCCGTTCGATATGCAGCCGATGTTTGGCGGAGCTAGCTGAAAACGCGGAGAGCTCTCCAGGTAATAATGATTTGCCGGAATCTGTGGAATTACTTCAAGTCTTGCAGACCGGGTTTGCCGCTCCTTGGTTCCATTACCGACGACGTTTTCATCGAAATTTTTAGGGCCAAGAGGTAGTCCGTTCTGCTTGCACAACGCACTGGAACGATGTGTTCTCCTTCGGTTTCTTCTTTAGCTGCATCTGCCAATAATCGTTTGGTATTCTAAGATCAAAGCTGTCTCTGTCGATGACAACCGAGAAAACGGCTCCACTCCATTTTAAAAAAAGTTTCGTGGCTGATCCATATTGGGAACCAAGGACGAAAGACCCGTGCGGTACGCAAGATGTGGTAGGAGCTCATCATAAACAAACTCTGTCCGTCGAATACCGGAATACGCCAGTTGTGATCAGAAACGACGCTTACGATATATCCGAGTGGGAACCGGATATCCGGTTATTTCTTCACGCTTGACAGCGCTATTGAACGGTTTAAGCGAAAGCGCGCATGAGGTTTTTGTGACCAATGAAAACCGGCAGATAACACATTATATAGCCGTGCTACATGATCAGGTTTTTGGCACCGGACATATACAGCCGATTGAAAACTGAACAGTTTAGCAGTACCTACTTTTATTTGCTAATCCTATCAGGAGATCTTGTAATTGATAACATGTGTGGCATGCATTTTTCGATTGAAGCTCGATCGGACTGAATTCGGAACTAACACCATAGTTTTAAACGACAACGGCAAAGTACCCCTTAGCGGCAATGTACGTCGTGAGAAGGAAGGATACTGACATCATCCGGATTGCAAAAAATATGCTGTGGGATATCAAACCGCGAAATGAAGAAATAAGTTTCAAAAAGGTTACGTTAGGGTGGGGTGAAAAAGCGGTTCATGAATTTAAACTGATGGAAACAAACCGTTCCAATGTGGCCGAAGCACAAAAATTAGCCACAATATTTTCAAGCAAAAGTTACTTTAAAGTTGCACGAATGAGCAACCTTACGCATCTCACTCGGTTTGTTTGGCTTTTCGGAAAAACAGATAGGTTTTACAACATGAAATTTCCACACCAGTCTCTTTAGATCTCTGGTTGAAAACGAACACACTTGTGCGGACCCAAACGTCGTTTGTCGTGAATAGGAAACGCTGTTGGACACTAAACGCTTCTGGACCCCGAAAGGATGTAAGCGAACCGACATTTTCTTAATTGTGTTTTGAAAGCCCTTTATCTGGAAAACGAGAATAGAGATCAGCATTTAAGCATCTGAAGCTTTGCAACGGTTTTCAGTTTGATTACGATTCTGCATCTGAAAAGGGGCTTAGGCGCTCTTTCGCCCAGTTGCAACGCTCGAAGAGGTCAAAGCATTAACTTCCAACCTCTGGATACTACATACTCCTTGAATACCTTTCTGGACTACATTCTAGAAAGCGTAAAGAACGAAGAACAACTCAACAGGCTGATGAAATAGAACGCAAACAATCGGAAAGTGAATAAACTTCGCTGCGTAATGTTGAACGTTATCGCAAAGGTTTACGTAACCGATGTGCATTTGAACATCTTGTGGAGTCTTCACCAAACGCTCTCATATGTTTTTTTGAAGTCTGAATGCAGGCTCTGCCTTTCTCTGTTAAAGCAGGACACTTTCCAAAAAACCATACGTGACATTCGTGGGGATCTGGTTTCGGCATTCTTCGAAAAGCGCGAATTTCGATTTTCTCACAGAAGCTCCTTATGTACGTTTGGCTTGTAGGGCACCGCTTCAGCCTGAGTTGTGTTTTCATCCGGAAAGTTCGGTCGTTAATTTGCAAATCAAGCATAGGACCTCAGAAGGCATCTGTTAACTTGATGAACTCATAATTCACTTTCAACTGTAACAGCAATACGGACGGCGGCCCATAGACTCGTGTGTTAAAATTTCCCGTAGACTTTGTATAGGACTGTTTGCCATAGACTGTATGTTATAACGATCCCGTAGACTTTGAATAGGACTGTTTGCTATAGACTTGTGTGCAGGACTGTCTGCCATAGAAATGTATGGTTAAGGCGAAACGGAACCACTGCTGGGCGGGTGGCAGTTACGTTAAGGAGTCAACCACCATGAGTACACAGTTACTTACTACCGCATTGCCCAAATCCACAGCACGCTTGTATAGCACTGCACTGACATCCAACCGCCTTTGCGTACGCAGTTACAAACTATTGCACATTTTCACAGCAGACTGATATGCATTTTCACTAACGGCTGATGTGAAATCTTCGTTCTCAAGATTGCCGTAGTGTAGGATCCACTACAAAATGGTATGAACACTAATACACTGTAGATCACTGCAGTTTTTTGTGTTGTACTAATAAAATTTGCACATACAACCTGTGTATTTATTTTACTTTGCTCTTTTTTGTAATAATTTTCATAATGTTTCGTACACCTGTTTATACTACCAATCAATATGTATGGCTACCTGTGGGATCAGCCTGCTGATTCGAAGACGATTATTTTAGATGAGTTCCCACTTGCTGATTTTTGCGACATACCCCTCACTCGGTTCACTGATCTCCAGTGCTTGTCCGCAAATGCTTGTGGAGTGTCTTCTCTGCTTGGTTTGACACAGTTACCCAACCTGACGTATCTGCAACTCAACGACAACCTGTTGGGGTACTCCACCGACCCCCATTTTGAGATCCTGGCGACAGCGACACCTAACTTGAAGCGACTGACTTTGGCTCACAAAGGCATCAGTACCGTGGATTTCTTGGAGCCATTGAAAAACCTGTCGGCACTCCATACCGTGGACCTGTTCCGCAACAGCGTGAACCGGACCCATTCCAGTGAACTGTTCCGTGTTATCCCCCAGGTTATGCGATGGACTGGAGAGGATGGAGACGTCGAAAGCGAAAGCGACGAAGAGATGAATGGTGAGTAGTATTTTTTCTTGTTTGCATGATACTAGATGTTGACAGTATTCTGTCGAACTTTGATTAGGAAATTTTATGTACATAGAACCCTAGTCGGACCATGGCGATGAAGAGGATGAGGATGACGATGCGTCAACGGCTGGCTCAGGTATTTATTCGTCATTTGCTTCGTTACGGTTTGTGTGACCTTTGTAAAGTTTCTTGCGGACACTTGCAGACCTTACTTGGCTGCTGTCGGACGATGATGTGGACCACATCTCCGACTCCGCCTTGGAACCGGACGTAGATGAGTCGGCCTCGGATGCGGACGCTGATGAGATCCCGGACACGGCCTCGGAACCCGACGGCAACCGCCAGGATGGCGATGACGACGTAGTTATGCTTAACTAGTTAGTCTTAGTGCGTTATTCCTGTTTTCACCCCCTCGGAGACCCCTTCGGTAACCATATAGCGGGTGTTATGTATTCTTCTCATTGTGACCAACTTTTTTATAGTTGATTGCTTTATTTCTGTTTTCACCACCTCGGACACCCCTTTGGAAACCGTACAGCGTTACGAATATTTTTAATCGTCGTTACTTAAGTTTTTTGTGTTTATGTTATGGGTAGTACGTTGCACTCGTACGTGTTAAGAAAAAGCAAAATGCGTAGCAGACGTTGCTGTGAAATTTCGGTTTTCCAAAGACATAAAATTCGACAGCGCTAAAATTATTGCAAGTTAAATATCGGTGGTCTAAATTTCACATCTGTTATTTTTGCGATATGTAGAAATCGCTTTGGTTGAGTAATAATTTGCAGAATTTTGCATTTGCGAATTTTCAACTTTTCGAAAATGGATTACGATTTAACGGACGATGACCTTATTGATGCCGCAGCCTTGGCGGCCCTTGATGACTGGGTGTTTGATGACGGTTTAACTGATCAAGATAGGCTTGATGCTGCAGAGTTGGCAGGTTTAGATGACTGGATCGCTGACGAACCTCAAGCGGGAGCGGGTGTACCGAATGATTTTCGTGTAGCTGAACATGTCGCAGTAGAGCCCAGGGGTCACCGGTTTTCCAAGACCCAAAGTATGCATTTTTAAGCTTTTTCAAATTAGTGTCCATGATCTGGATGGCATAAGCTTTATTGATGCTCCGGCAGTAATTGTGGCTGTGTTGGAGTACATTCTTGACACTGTTTTGGCTGGAGTAGCTCGTCACCAGTACGTCCGCGTGTCGGTGGATTCGGCTCATCTGTCGTTCCCTATCTGGACGCCACCAACACTGCGATCCCAGTTGACCGTACAGCGTTGGATGGCAGAGATATCCCAAGTGTTGAATTCCCATCAAGAGTTTGTCATAGATGGTTCTTTCGAAGTTTTGCTGGAGCATACGGAAATTCCTTCTGGTCGTTGTGTCCGGGACGTCCCTCCGATGCTGTACCAGAAGCTCAAGAAAATGACGTCAGTCATTTTGGTCAACAATGACGACGAGATCTGCATGGCCCGTGCCCTAGTAATTGGTAGAGCGTTTGCGGATGGTCAGAAGGAGTATGCCAGGCACATTGCCAAGGGTAAAAGGGAAATTCTTGCGTTGTCAAAGGACCTTATTAAAAAAGCCGGTCTGCCCATGCGTAAATATTCCCTGGCGGACATTCCGGCTTTCGAGAATGTGCTTCGCGGTTACCAGGTCGTGGTTGTTAGTACCATGCAAGCCAACAGTATCGTGTACAGCGGAAAGCATGAAGAGAAGCATATTTGCCTGCTACTCCACAACCGCCACTTTGACGTGTTGACCTCCATGCCGGCTTTTTTTAATCGTGGCTACTGGTGCTTTGGGTGCAATAAGGGAAATAACGACCGACGAAACCATCGATGCAATGGCCAATGCAAACAGTGTCTCCGTTCCAACTGCTCCTTGGACACATCCAATATGCTGGCGTGCGGTGACTGCAATCGAAAATATCATGGACAGTCGTGTTTCGATCACCACAAACTGGGGCCCAGCGGCGAGAACCTATTTCACAACCGACGCAGCATATGCAGCACGGTAAAGCTTTGCCTACTGTGTGGCTCCATTTATTCCCTGCTCAAAAGAAAACCAGGAGCCGTTCACCGATGTGGAGAAATTTTTTGTAAGACCTGCCGGGAGCACGTTGTGGGCGACCATCGCTGCTACATGAAACCACACAAGCTGGGTCCGTTTCAGAAGATGCAGTACGCGGATGCCCAGTTTTTATTCTTCGATTTTGAAACGTATGTTGCTGATGATGGACGACTGTACCCGAACCTTGCGGAAAGTCTAAACGATCATTTTGTTGAAGTAAGATGTACCCCCTCGGGGACCCCCTCGAAATCTCATTGCTGATGCAGGTCGTACAGAATGATGAAGGCGAGGAATGGATCTTTCCGCCAGAGGGGGAACCACTGGGCGACATTACCGACTCACTTTGCCGATTTTTGTTCAGTGAAGATCATCGCGACCACATTGTTATAGCTCATAATTTCAAGGTAAATCGTTTTTAAGAATTTTTCCCGCCTACTTTTAACTGGTAGAAATTTTGTAGGCTTTTGATGGCTACTTTATTACCAACTGGCTGCTGAAGAATGGCATCATCCCCTGAGTGATTATGAATGGCGGCAAGATCATGCAGCTTGACGTGGGTCAACTGAATATTCGCTTCCGGGACAGCATTAATTATAATCCACAGAGCCTTTCAAAGTGGCTAGCGACATTTGGGATTGAAGACACGTCTAAAGGTTTGTTCCCGCACCGCTTTAATCGACCAGAGAACTGGGATCAGGTCACAGAGTTCCCTTCCATGATGGAATACGGACATCAGTACATGAGCAAGAATGATCGTGAGGCCTTTGAGCAGTGGTACAAAGATGAAATCGCCGCCAAGCACAATACCTTCGATTTCCGAAAAGAGTTCGTGGATTACTGCAGCAATGATGCTGCCGTCCTCCGCAAATGTTGTCTTCAGTTCCGAAACCTGTTTTTGGAAATTAGCAATGGAATCTGCCCATTTTTTTCCACGCTGACCATTGCGGGGCTATGCGGTCTGTACTGACGCAGCAGTATCCTCAAAGCCAACCAGATAGGATTGATCCCACTACAGGGATACCATTCCAATCGCAACCAATCCGTCAAAGCGCTGAAGTGCCTGCAATGGATGGAATTGGAAGAAAACTGCCAAATCCAGACGAGGGCATCGGGGGCAGAGTTCAAGATCGGTCAGTACTTTGTGGATGGCTACTCTGCCGCAACGAATACAGTTTTTGAATTTCACGGTTGCTGGTTTCATGGATGTCCTGAATGCACTGCTCCTGACACGATACATCCATTCAGAAATCTTGCGATGACCAAGATTTACGAGGAAACCGTGCAGCGAGATGACTACATCCGCAGCCGGGGATACGGGCTCCATGTGATGTGGGAGCATGACTTCGACGGCCTTGTCAAAGAAGTGCCATGGTTTGGAGCTTACATTGAGGAAATTACCGTGTGCCAACCTACTAACCCCGCGACGCGTTCTACGGCGGCCAGACGAACGCCACAAAACTTTTTCACAGTGTAACAGGAGAAGAAAAAATTCGGTATTTTGACGCCTGCAGCGAGTATCCCTATGTGAACAAGAACAAGCGGTATCCCATCGGCCACCCGACCATTATCGTTAAAGAATTCGACACAGTGACTGATTATTTTGGGATCATTCACTGTGAAATTGTTCCTCCGGCCGACCTGTATCTTCCAGTTCTTCCATACCGTAGTAATGGAAAACTCGTCTTTCCTCTTTGTCGGACTTGTGCGGAGACCCAACATAACGCACCATGTGGACACTCTGAGAACGAAAGGGCCCTCTCTGGGACATGGTGTAAGTAAAATTAAAAACCTCTTCGGTAAACGTTTCTTGCAGGTACACCGGAGATACATGCAGCTATTGATCGCGGCTACGTCGTGACAAGAGTTTTTGAAGTGTGGCACTTTGAGCAGACCGAAGAGAGATTATTCGCCGATTACATTGACCGTTTTCTTAAAATCAAGACCGAAGCAAGTGGATGGCCAGCTGATGTTGTCACAGACCAACAAAAGGACCAGTACGTGCGGGATTTCCATGACCACGAGGGTATTGAGTTGGACCGGGAGAAAGTGGAAAGTAACCCGGGCATGCGGTCGCTTGCCAAACTGTGTCTTAACAGGTATTATATTTTTTATATGACTTTATTAAATATTAGTCATTATTATTATTGCTTGTAGCTTCTGGGGACGCCTTGGTATGCAAGATAATAAGCCGAACACCAAGTACATTTCCTCTCCAGAAGAATTCTACAAGATGCTTCTTTCTGGAGAATACCACATTCAGTCGTGGGACATGTTCAGTGACGACGTTCTGCAATTGGCGTATACGAAGGAGAACCTGTTTGTGGAGCAGAATCCGCATACCAACGTCGTCTTGGCTGCGTAAGTGTTTGCCCCTTTTGTTTTTGCAATTGCGGCTCGAACTTTGATATTTTATCAGGTTTACCACCTGTTGGGCGCGGTTGCACCTTTATGGTTATATGGAACAAGTGCAGGACAGACTGTTGTACTTTGACACTGGTAAGATTTGAAAGGCCGGTTCTGCAAACATGTGAATATGATATGGGTTTGCAGATTCCATAATTTTCGTGGATAAACCTGGATCACCAACGCCGCCGACTGGCAAATTCCTGGGCGACCTTACGGATGAGCTGCAGCCCGGTCAGTTCATTAGTCAGTTCGTCAGCCTGGGACCGAAGACATACTCGTACAAGACCAACGATGGGAAGAGCGTAGTAAAGGTGAAAGGCTTCACGCTAAACGGGCACACCAGCGAGATCATCACCTTTGAGAAAATGGTGGACGTGTTGGAGAAGAAAACGGATTTTCTTGTTGCGGAATACCCTGACAGCATCCAGCGCGTTAAAAAATCTATGACTTTAAAACAAGTTGATCTGGCTAAACGGCTGAGTTTTACTTATGATAAACGTAGAATTGTTAATACTAATTGGAATACTCTGCCTTAAGGGTACACCTCGCAGTAAGTTAAAGGTCTGGTCAATCGAAGTCCGAAAAAGCCGTGGTCATTTTATTGGTAACATTAACACCAGATCAATCAAAGCCCATGTCAAATCGACTTCTGTCTTAGCACCTAAAAAGTTACATCGACCACTGGCGAATAAAATAGCCGTACATTCTGGCATCTTAATTCGTAAACCCAAAAAACGATCAGCGAAATATGGAAAATTAAGCTTCTTACTGACAGCATCGAGATCAAACCGCTGACCAAAGTCATGCGTGCCCACAATGTTGACCACCTTAAAGTCAGTGACACAACATACGTATCTGATTTTAGACAGAAACCGTATAAAATATTCCAAAAGAAAACGCGATTCGACCAAATCCTTTCCGCCGTTCACGGTCACTTTACCGTTGACATACAGCTGACAATGCGCTTTAGGCGGTAGTATACGACGCAGGAGGAGCCCGGAAAAGGATCGAGGGATGTATTGAGCCAACGGCAAGCGTTTTTCAATGTCATTCAAGTTCAGTTGGCAGTTCAGCTTTGCGGTGGCCACAACATTGGTGATCCGTACCATTCTTATGCAACCACAATCAACAGTTGAGAGCCTTTCGCTGGGTGGTTTGCACCGCAGAAGTCAGTCGTCGAAACGTTGGACAATGATAGTCCTCCAAGTTGATGACTTCCGGCAAGTACTTTTCCAGGAGGCGACACTTTTCCAACCATTTGGCGTAGAAGGTAACGTCAGCTGGACGTCCGGTTCGTTCAAAAATATCTTCAAACACTACCGCCGTCTGGTTGTGGCGATTTACCGTAGGTGTGCCAAATGAATCCATGAGAATTGCGCGCCTGCTTTTCCAAATCTCTTGCGCAATGAGAGGCACCGCGCGGTAGCGTAAAAGTATATAGTCCCACTTCTCCTTTTTCAAGACAAAAGAACGATAGCTGCTTCATGAACTTCTGTTGGTTAATAACAAACCAATCAGCATCAAGAACACAACTAAGAGCCATTTTTGAACTGAACCCACTGAACTTTAATAACCTTACTCTTTTGTACTTTGGCGGGGATCCACGTTTGGAAAAAACGCGTAGCTGAATGCTATGAAAAACGGGGTGAAAAAAGTCTTTTCACGTACGTTCCGATACAAACTTTCCCTAAAATGCGCAACAGAACGCTACGAAAAGCTGGTGAAAAATCCTAAATGCGCACGTACGAGTGCGAAGTTTTCCTGAAACTCACAGCAAGGTGCTGTGAAAAAACCTTTTTACGAACTTTTCGGATGACGGACAACCCATAAAAAGCTCAAGCGAGTGTAGTTTGCCACTTTAGTTGTTCAGTGTTTTTTTCAATTTTCTCTAACAGTTTTCTCTGCATCAACGCCATGGAGTTTATTCCCGATTTTATTTCGTCCGAGCGCACCATGTCCCCAAAGCCTTCAACCAGTGGAGCCGCCCGTGAGATTCCTGCTACGCCGCTGAAGCCACGAACATTTGCAAAGCGCCGCGCTCCGGAAATGGACGACGCCAAGCTGAACCTGACCAAGAAGTTCAAAGAGACAGAGATCACCAAGCATCCCCGCCTTGCGTTCATCCATGAAGGTTCCAACGTGTACAAGATTGGTTTCGAGAAGTATGCGTACGCCCGCTTCCAGGACGGAGTCTCTGCCATCGTCATTGGTGAATGGAAGAAGCAGAGCGACGACACCTACCGCCGCACCCTTGAGAAGTCCATCACGGTCAAGAAACCCGGATTCATGCGTCTGTGTGCACTGATTATGAGCGGAAAGGCCGACCTGGACAAAATTTCCCAGCTTAGCAGCGGTACCGACGGCAAGTTGGCGCCCTTGTATGCCTTGGAAAGTGGACTGTACTTTGGATGGGGGCGCTACAACCGTGTCAACACGACCACCGTCCGTCGTTATACACTTGGGAACAACGGGGACCTAATTCCGACCAAAGCGGGTGTGACCTTTGGACTCAAAACTTACGAAGGACTGAAGGAGCTGGTGGTGGACATGACGTTACTGAAAGAGCTTTTTGTTGTGGACGAAGCCAACCACGTCCCAATGACCTTAAAGTCCGCTCTGGCATACGACAAGTTGAAAGAAGTGAGTTCTTATTTCCCTGTGTTGTACAGTAGTCCATGTGCATTGTTTTGTAAAGGAAGTGGCTGAATAGTTCACGGAGCTCATCTACCAGATGCGTGGACGAAAAGGCAAGATGGTGTGCGGGAGTGCCGACGATGACGAATGGGCTGCAGCTGAAAAAGCTATTTTGGAGTCGCGCTATGTGGAGGCTGTTCTGCTGGAAGCTGATCAAGTGGACATTGGGCAAGTTATTGGATTGGACGTTAAAGGGTATTTGGAACTTAATGCCCTGGAGTTTCGTGCCATGTTTGCTAAGCTCATTTAAGCGCTGTCCGTAATGCTCTTCGGTAATGTTTAATTTTTTCTTTGTTCTCATTTGGGTCTTAATTCATTAAACGCGGTCAGTTTTTTTCTTTATTTTTTTTTTCTGTAATGCGTTTACATATCTGACGGATAAATGCATCGTCGATCACTTTGGTATTTATGTCAAAAACCGAATTAACATACTGACAGACCATTTTGTCGTTGCTTGCTCGGTTATCGGTAAACAAATGCACAATATTGGTATAAGACTCGCCGCTAACACGCCGAAGAATAAAAAACAAACAATACTGCCCACACACGGTAGAATATTCAGATTGAAATTGTTCGGACTGCTGTATAATCCGATTTGATGAAATCAAATTATCAAAGTCTTCGGAATACGAATCCAGTTTCCTCCCAAACGAATCGAACACTTCCAAAAGGCCATGTTCTTCTTGATAGAAAGCAATCCAGTGCGATCCGTCTTAGTCCGCTGGATCAATGTTGACCACCGCCGCTCCAGGGTAGGGCAAAAGTTCACTAGGCACTTCGTTGCTGGCGTAAACTCCACGTAGCACTGTCTTTGTAGCCGGATTCGACTGCAGTGCATTCAGAATCTGGTCGGTGTTCATGTTGAAAAGTCCGCAATCAACTGGCGATGCTGGTTTATTTCAATAATGCTGTCGTACACCAACATGGCGACCATCATGACTGTTTTATCCAGAGGCTTCTCAAAGCTGACCGACACGCTTAAATTGCCCTGTTTCACCAAAGTGAGCGGTCCTTTTCCAGTATGTCCCGGTGTCAGGTCAAAGCCAAAGAACGTGTAGCCATTGTTATAAGCGGTCCGATTGAAATTGACGCTGTTTTGAGGATGCGTTCGGTGGCCCAGGGTGTCCAGTAAACCATCGTAGCACTCCAGCGACTGCGAACGCCCAAAGTCGGCAGTGTAAGGTTTTGTTGGATAGCTCTGACCGTCCACCTCCACACTGATCTGCGTAATGTTGAAATGTTGAAAGTTGAAGGGATTAGTTTTGAGGCTGCCGTGAAAATCATCGCTTTCCAGGAATCCGACGAACATTACTTTGGGAATCTGCCCGATCTGGAGGTTGCTCACCACGGTACTTTGAGTTTTTTGGGGAATATCCGACACCCGCATCACCACGCGTTCAATGTGATACTTGACAGTTTTTTTCAGCATCTCCGCGGCCAAGCCGTCATAAAGTCTGGTGCCAAAATGTATCGGCGGATGGACAAGCGCGCATTCCGAATGAATGGTTTGAACTGCTTGGTGGCATCGGTATCCCACACTCGCAAACAAAATTCTGGCCGACTCATTACCAAGCATTATTGATGGGCACGCCGGTGCACAGCGGTTTGCTTTGGTCAAACAGGTCCTCAAAGATTTTTCCAGAGAGTTGCACGTAGTTGCTGCCAGCAAACAAGGCCTTGCGATTGACTTCGCCTTTGTTGTCCTTTTCGTCATTCATCTTGGAGGCGGTGTCGGGGTAGAAAGCGGCTGATGTTAACTGGCTTTTTTGTGCATCTACCGAATAGCAAAGCGTCGAGTCCATGTACGCCCGATATGGGTAAAATGTAGCGGCATCCGAGATCAGTCGATTGACCACGGTAATGTGGCATGATGAAAACAGTGAGTGCAGAAAATTGTTGACGGGTGCCACATTGGCGGTGTTGGTCATCAGCGTTCAATCACCAGCTCCTTTCTTTACTTTGATGCCAACCTCCAGTTCCAGAATCATATCCGCCAAGCTAAGTAGACCAGATGTACTGGGCAGAATATAGAAATTGATATCGCCCGCTGGGCCGTTATCTGTGAGAATCGTTGTTGGGTTCAGCTTTTCATGCTCGGTGCGCCAACGGTCGGTCAACGTAGCTGGTAAGGCAAAGAGCTGATTCTCCAATTGCATTGCCGGTTCGGAATTTTCCATCATGAGCAGAGCCATAGTTAATAGTAATCCGCGATAATCGTCGGAGGAATGCGTTTAATGCGTTGTCGGTTGCGTACAACACGGCGTTTCTTACGGATACCACTTCCTTCTTGAGGTGCTAAGCGTTTACTGATGCTCTCTTTAGCTCTATCAGCAACCTCTTTAATGGCCCCGGTAGCAGCTTCTTGCAAATGGGGCGTGGCGGCATCCAACGCAGCTTTGGCATGCGGTGCGGCCTGGCGGATTATAGGCTTGGCGAAAGACGATATTCTGGCGAACAAACTCTTCAGAATCTGTGGGAGGCCGGAACCGTTTTGCAGTGTGCCGCGGTACCGAATAAGGGCGCTTCCTCCTGTTTGGCTGACGAACACGTCGTCGTACCGCCGAGGATCAGGCACGTACTGTACAAAAGGCATTTTTAATATAACCGTTGCGGGCGGAAGTGCAGCTTGACAAGCGATTTTCCCGCCTGGAACTTAGCTTCGTCTCCGAGATCATTGGCAATAATCAGTTTAATGGCTTAAAAATGCTGTCGGAGAAAAGGAACATAATGCGGAATGTCGAAACGTGCTTCCACGGTTTTATTCACTTCGCCTCTAATAGGTACGGGACGCAGAAATTGCGCCGCTGTGTCTCCGATCAAACCATAGTCAGCCACGTCGCTGTAAACGAATAAGCTTTGGTTTCCCAGGAAAGTGTTGGGCCGGTCGGAAATGAACGTAGTTGTTTTCGGTGGCGGAGCTTTGTCCCAGAATGCTGAGTATTTAGCTCTTGCCTGATCTTGGGCGGTGTCAATGGATTCAGCAGAAACGTTCGGCTCGAATTGGCTCTGATCAAAACCCAGAATCTTTTGCAGGGTCCAAGATTCAGGCGGAAAGCTGACGGATACCCGGTCATTCCCAATGCTGAGTTTCACCTTATGGTTGGTTGGCGTAAAGAACTGCACTTCAAACATTTTATTGTTCAGCAGCGCACTTCTATCGTGAATCACTTTTCCGTCCAGTAAATGCGTTTTTATGACAGGGGCCAGCGTGTTGATGGTTTGCAGAAGCAGCTCAGCGTTCTTGTAATTGCCCGGTGGCACAACAATGCTTTTTTGGGCACTGACATATCTTGGGATGTCGATAAATTCACCGTCTTTCTTCAAATAAAATTCTCGCACAACATCCAGTTGGATTTTCTGCTCAACGGGTAGTGTATAAAAAGAATTCAGATACTGCAGCTCCACCAGTGCCATTTCCCACTTCCCTTTCAAGGTGATCGGATGTTACAGCTTGGTAGTCCAAATAAAAGGCGTGTTGGCAGGATCGCTAGCCACATCACTGGGCAGCGTTAAGTAGAATGGCGCACCTTCAAACATTTTTCATGTATCCACTGATCGTGTTCCGGTCCGTATCCCAACCAACGCACAAGGACTTTCTTTCCACGGCGCTTGACAATAAAATCCACAGTATGATCTTTGTCAGTAACGTTGCGCACCAGCGATAACTCGGGTTCGTATAACTTTCCTTCAATGGTGTTGTCTTGATAGTCCTTCAAAAGGTAGACCGGAACTGGGTGCGGAATGATTTGCTTAATAAAAAATATCTACTCCTTAAATCGGTACGTGTATCCCTTTTCCATTTTGCCTTTCCGGATGGAAATGCGCACCGCATCATCAACTTGTACCGTGGTTTTTTTACTTTCACAGCCGGGTACATCTTGTTGAACACGAGCAACGAATTTTCCTGCTTGACATCAACGGGTCGCATTCCATGAGCGCTGTGCACCGAGTGATTGTACGAATGCACAAAATCTGATAATTTGTCAATGTACCGGGTGCTTATACGGTAGCGAAATAGCCGAAAAATCCGTGATTTAATCGTTCCAATCACTCGTTCGGCCATGGCACATTTCACATCCTCGTTTTGCGAAGTAAAGAATTGTACGTCGTGTTCTTTGAGAAACGCCCGGACAGTTGCGTTTAACACTTCAGTGCCCTTGTCGTATTGTAGCTTTTCCGGTCGACCCAATTCTTCAAAGGATTTCTGGAGAGCGTCACGTGTTTCTTTACCGGTCTTTGTCTTCAAGGCTTGGACGCTTAGCATTTTGGAGAAGCAATCAATCACAAATAACAGATATTTGATGCCATCATTTTCCTTGAAGTATTTGGACAAATCGGCTGAATCAGCTTGGTACTGCTGCCGCAGATTGGTAACTATCACTGGATTGCGTGGAAATCGTGTCCGGCTTTCTTTGGTGACAGTGTATGCATCGATCTCTTGCAACATCTCCTCGGCTTTCCGTTTGTTCGCTCTGGTCTTTAGTGATCTTCGAAAGCGCTCGACGCCGCCAAAACTTCCGGGATGATGGGGGTCTAGGTATCTCTTCATCAAGCGATCCATCGTTGCAACAATTTGACACACAGTTGATCTTGAAAAATCGGCACAACCGAATAACTGACGGCAAAAATCCAGACATTACGACAACGTTATCCAGTTAACTTTGCGCTTCATGCCTCCTTGCTGTTCACGTGACAGCAAGCGCGGAATGGGTATTGGTTCATCAGGCTTCTCTTTGGGTCGACTGGGTCGAGGTTTCTTTAGGGGTGATGGGGGTACTGGCGGTTGGTATTTGGGTGGTTCAACCGGATTTTCATCGGGCATCACTCTTTGTTTCAGAGCAAGGAATCGTTCCAGTATACTAGATAGTTGACTGGCTTTCTCGTACTCGCTTATATCTTTTCGCTGTAGGGTTTCGGCAACTAAACTGTCTAATAAGACGACGGCTTTGGCTTCCGGAGGCTCGCGGTTGACTTGAATCTTTTCATGAAGTCGCTCCTCCATAACGCGGCGAGGAACAATGAAATACTCATCCATTACCAATTAACGAGGTCAGTACACCGGCTATAACAGGTAGACTAGCACCCAAGAATCCGCCTTGCTGCAAAATCCGCTTTTTAGCTTTCATTGGGTACCGTCGCAGCGCTAACAGCTTTAATGCTTTGCGATGACGTTTACACTTGTCGAGATCGGCGAACGACAGGCTGACGGTATTTTTAATGATGTTGACGGCAATCTCCTCCAAGGCTTTAAGCTGCGGCTTGTTGACAAATCCCATCAAGACGCGGCGCTGTTTTGGCTTCAGGCCTTTCAAGGTAATTAAAAATGGGGCAAGGGCTTTCACGCGTTCCGACATGGTTTCGGTATATCGTTGGAATTGGCTTTCACAAATATCCGCATAGACTGTGTCGGAAGTGAGTGTGATCTCACCCTTAAATACTCCGGGCACATTGAACGCATATCGATAATGAGCGGTTCATACGGCTCGGATGTAACTTTGCGGTACGCCTCCGGCAGCTGATTGAGCCCAGTTTGGCGCGCGAGCAGTTTAATTTAATTAATATCACGCACATTTTTGAATAAAACAAGATATTGGGAATTGAGCCTGATGTCTCTCATCGACTTTCCCTGCTTATAAAGGTTTTGCAACAGTCACACAACCGAAACGTTTTTATGATGAATGCCACGCGTGAACAAGTTTGAGCAGCGCACGTCTTTACAGATATCACTAGCCAGATCGTCGATAATCAACAACGTGTGCAGATTGGGGTAAAAAAAATTCGGTGTTTCAAAGACAGTCTCAATGCCTTTGACGAAATCAACGGAATCCTGCACTTCATCAAACGATTTTTGCCATTCACCATAAAAGTACACTACTCGATCGGGAAACGGACAAATCATTTGCGCGCGGTTTTTAATTAAAGACAGCACAAACTGCGTTTTACCCGACATTGTCGGCCCACAAACACACAAACCAAAGGGCGCCTGAAAGCGCGGGTGTTCTTTTAAAACACTATACATGATGACGAAAATGATGAATTAAAAAGAGCACTAATGTGCTTTAATACAAACAACACAAACTTTTACACTCAGGCTGCCGGGAACGGTGGACCTCCTCCGGATCGTCGCCCTTTTTCCAGTTGTCCACTACCAATCCGCAATACACGCACTCAGCCGTGTTCCCCCAATTACACTGGAATCCAGCTGCAGCTAGTCGCACTGGATGGACTATCTCAGATTTCCAGCTGTCTGGATAGGATGCCAAGCGCTCTTCGGTCGTTTTCATGTCTTTGGGAGGTTGTAGAGCGTCTTCTTCGCAGCAGAAACATATGAAACCGTTGCTCGGCCCTTGCCGGTCCTACAAATCTTTGACACGGTAACTGGTAGCGTTGGCTCTCTTCTCTAGGTCGCGAATCTCTTCAATGGCTTCCGGACCAAGACGACTGACAACCACTGGGCAATGAGGGCGGTAGCGGGCATGGTGAACGTCAAATTGTTCGTACGGTAGTAAATCCCTCAATCCCAGTCCGCAGTGATAACAGTGGCTGAGGTTGGACCAGGTGTAGGAAAATCCCGCAGCAGCCATGTCCTCCTTTGTCTGTGTGGTAAACAGCCGGTTCTTGACATGGTTAAAGCTGTTTAGACGGGCAAGATAGTGCGCCATCCGAGGATTATACGGAGCCATTTGTACTGTAAAACAAAGTTCATTAAAGCACTGATGTTGGGATCAACACAATCAAAACGCACATTCAGTTAGTACTCCTGCCAATATTGGTTCAGATCCCGAAGCTTCGCCGCGTACGCCGGTCGCAGGGCTTGCAAGTACCGACAGTCCGGATTGTATGTCGCGTGCTCCTTCCAGAAATCGTCGCCCCAGTCAGCGGACGCCAGACGGTGACCGCAACAGAAACACTTGACGCAGACACAACCCTAGTCGGGCACGTAGATGTAACCGGCTTCGGCCAACCGACGGGGAATACGGATGTGAGAATTAAACCTTTCAACTGGATATGTCAACAGACGGCTTTCGACTGTGCTATAGACACATGTACCGTAAGACTCCATTGCATAAGAAACCTGAATACCACAAATGAAGATTCACTATGCCCGGTTGAAGATTTTATACCATCTCTATGCTACGCATTTTACCTCTTTTTCACACGTTACTCCTGTGAAAATTTTCTTTTCCATACATGTTAGCCCACCCCCACAGCTCACTCATGTTGAATCGTGTTTACAAAAATCTTTAGCGATGGCTAACCTCCAAGCAATGATGCCGGACCTGCATCGCCGTGAAAAGCGACTAGAGAAAATCGTTGTCGCCGTTTTCTACTTTTTGTTGTTTGCGATGTTTACGTTTTTCGTAATTTTGGATGCTTTTGGAAAAGTGCTCCAGACGGACCACTGGAACCAGACAGTTCGCAATATGACCGCGGTAAGCCGAAACCGTTCATTGTTTTACGAGAATCTAATTACTGTGCATTTTGCAGGACAACGGCGGGACGTGAAAGTCGACACCTTTCCGGCAGCAACTAGTTTTAGTTCATCATCTGATATTTATTGAGATTTTATAAATTCTTGTCCCTGGAAAACACCCGAGGGGGTCAGTTGTTTAAAAATAAAATGACGGCACGGTGTCATGCTTTATTCACATTTCGACTTTATGTAAAAATCGCTTCAATACTGTCGTTCGTAGATCCCATAATTGTCGCAAACTGTAGTCTCTCATGAAAATGGAATACTTGAACAAAATCCCATAGTAACAGCCATTAGGCAGTTGTTTAAGAAGCTGTTCCTTCACACGGAGTTGTAGATCCTGCTTCAAGAAGTCTGGCAGAAATAGCTGGATTTCGCGATTCAGTTCGACCATGTACTGGTCCCAGAACCATATCGGCAATTCTACAAAAGCAACTAGATAAAGATGATCAATAAACAAAATCGTACATAACTCACCCGCCGAGCCGCGGTTCGTGACCGACACAAAGCTACTCAGTAGTGCAAGAAGCTTGTCGGGAGTCGCAAACCGGAAGTTCTTACAGACTTCCATGCGAATAGTGCGAAAACTGGTGGCAGCGATCTCGATGCGGAATGTAACTTCTTTCTTTCCGGAGAGTTGCTTTCTGAAGCCCCCGCGCAAAGGTTTTCCGAGGACGTCCCACTGAAAGTCTGACGATGGGCGCTTCTCTTGAAAGGGATTCGGTGATGGGTTTCGCGAATCAAGTTTGCTCTGGTAGGACAGCATGTACTCCAAAAACGCTACGAACTGATCGCTGCTGATCTCCACGTTATCTCTGGGCGTTTCCAGGCGTACAGTGTGTGCTTCGTTCCGGTTGTCTCTCAGGATATTCAGCAGCGTGGTCTTCCCAAACAACATAGTACCCGCTTCACTCACTCCCTCTACAAATCAATGAACTAGAGTAGTTATAAATCTACCGTGCTAATAAAACTTGACAAAACGAAACCTGTCGTTATAGCGGCAAACAACATGTGTTTACCAACCATCAGCAACAGGTGCTTTATTTGACATTGGTCCCAAAATGGCAAATAACTGATCCCACTGCATCCCGCTACCGACCTCGTCAGCTACTGCGGCAAACCCGGTCTGCAGCACTTCCATAGATGCCGGCATATCGCTCGTACTTGGAGAGTTCTCTGCAAGCTCGGCAAACATCTGCTGCATATCAAATGCATATTGCTGATCAGCGTCCACAGGATTGTTACCAAGTTCAGGCTGTTGCATGCTTATAACATTGTCAAAGTCGAAATCAAAAAAATTCGGAATTTCAAAGTCATCCATCGTAAAATTTCTGGTTATGGTTGCAATGAATTCAGAATGAAGAACTTGAGCGAAAACTCGAATTATGGTTCTCAAGATAATGTGTGTGGGAGCTGAGTTGCGCTCGCTCCGCCCCTTTTCTCTTCTGCTATTGTTGGCGTTACGTCACAATTAGTGACGGGTGCATACTTCACTTTCACTATACATATTTCGGTCACTTGTGACGCAGTGCATGAATAGCTGCTGATTGCAATGCCTTTAGCCACCTGTCGAATGTGCAGTTCGCTGAAAATCCATTCCTCTCGCACTTTTACATTAAATTTCATTTGTAGAAATTTATTTACAGAAGGCTTAGTGTTCGGCGTCTCACCTGGTTCACAGTTTTTGTTAGTAATTTTGTTTTTCCTTAAAATTTAATGTTTCATTCAGTTTTCAATAAGATGAACCAATGCACTTAAGTGACCAAAATAATAGTAAAAGCGAAGTACTTACTTTGGATTCCAACAAGGTGCGTATACTAATGCTACTGGATTTATTTTAATAAAATATGAACCGTTTAATTCTTTATGCTGATATTTTACGTACAAATTTTACAGTTGAACGGAAAACCATAACAACCGTTTGACCCGTGATTGTTTCGCACGTTGCAGTTTCTTTGGTTTGAAAACAAAACAGACCGTTCATTTGTCACACTGTACAACGATAACATGTTTTACAAAAAAGAAGTAATACAGTGATAACCATTCCCTTAAACACGGGATGAACCAAAACAAAAGACTATACAAGATGTCATGGCTGGAGTGTTGCAGTCATACGCGACCATCTTCTCCTCACTTCCGTACAGGACGCGCCCGCGGTGCCTCACGACCGCCTCTCCCCCGTCGTCCTCCGCGAGGGCCTCGTCCCCGGCCACCCGACCGTCCTACGTCACCATCCGATTTCTCCTCAGCGTCCGCTTCGGCCACTTCGTCCGCTCCGGCCAGTGGGTCCATCTCGTCCGCGTTGCCGTCGTCGTCCGACTCGTCCTCCTCGGCACTTCCGTCCTCCCCGGCCGCTTCGCCTTCCTCGACCATTTCTTTTTCTTCCGTCCCATCCTCGTCGTCCGACTCGGCCACTTCGTCATCTTCCGCTCCATCTTCGTCGTCCGACTCGTCATCATCATCCGTAACCACATTGTTGTCCCGGCGCGCCCGCTCGGCATCGGCTTCATCTTCAGGCCGGATTCGCAAGACAATGTCTGCTGTGGATTCCGGCCACTCGCGAAACTGTCGGTCGATGATGTTATTGTCTTCATCCTTGTAGACATAAGGGAACGGCACTTCCAGTGCTTCCAACGCAATTCTGCCGAGAAGATACTCCGAACGGAACGGACCATTGCAGAAGTCTTTGCAGGGATATTGTCCTTGCGTTCCGAACACATGCCGGACCATGTTGTCCGGGTGACCTGGCGTCCCTTGAAGCTGGAGGCAAAACGGGCACTGGAAGAACTTTGTCCCTTGATGCGCTCTTTTCCGTGCCTCGGTATCTTCGGCAATCTGCAAAAAAGAGTTAGTTAGGAATTATATGCGTAAGCCTTTCCGAGGGGGTTTATGAGGGGGGTATTCAGAAACGGGTCCGTGGACTTGGCCACAGACACGTCCGAGGGGGTTTATGAGGGGGTATTCAGAGACGGGTCCGTGGACTTGGCCACAGACACGTCCGAGGGGTTTATGAGGGGGTACATGCTGATTGTTCACTGGAAACTACCTTAGCATATCCCGTCCCTTCTCGACGCAGATCGACCAGGTCTTCGAGTTTGGCAGTCGACTCCTCGAAGAAAACTTCTTCAGTGTTTATATCCGGCCAGTCCATCAGGCAATCCGTAAACGTGACTACCGGCAGACGTTTGTTTTCGACCACGATGGTCCGGATAACGTCGACGGGATAATCGCCGTCGAGAGCGCGAGCAGATCCCACAGCCGACGCCGCTGATGCACCAGGCTGTGCCGTGACGGGAGTCCGAGAAGAGCCGATGTTGTTCCGCAGTGAAATCAGCTGATTTCCAGGCTTTGCCGCCGGTGCGGACCTACAGAACAACTTGTTATTAAGTAGGGCCATCTACAAAACGGAACAAATGTCTTATTTACCGATTGGCATCTGAGGCACGAGCGCTGCGTGTACGGCTAGCTATGGACTCTGCTGGTGAACGGCTGCGTGACGTTGCCGGTGCCGGCGGAGACTCCATGACGCTTACAGGGCGGCTCGGCCGGCTCCCCGTGGAAGCAGCGTTGGACACAGCTCGGGACGTAGATCGGACCCCTGGCAGAAGCGAGCGTGCCAACGGGATGGACCCTGCCGAAGATCTGGCGTGTGACGGTGAGCGGTACGGATGGACCAGCTGATAGACCCGAGCAGGGGCCGAGACGGAGGGTGATGGCGCAGGACTGACTGGAGCCGGAGAGAAATGCGTTGGGCTATGGCGTCCAGATGGCGTATCAAATGCAAATAAGACCATGCCCGGCGCAAATTGAGTCTTATTGAGCCTCGTCGTCGTCCAGTTTTTGTTGTGCGTTACTTCTACAAGAAATGTAAAGAAATAGCACGTGGACTACTTTGACTTTCGAGTTTTCTCACCGCCAATCTTGATCGACTCAACACGAGCCTGAATTTTTGCAGAAATCATGTTCCGAATCTGCTCCAACTACAAAGGCCACAACACCATGAAAACCAGCGTCAAAGAATAAATTGAATTGTTTCGGTTCCCGAATTACCGTGTAGGAACCTTCCACCCCGATTTTGACGGTGGAGTTCTTGAAAGGAACAGCTACCTCGACTGTCAACATTTCTGCAAAACAAAACCATAAAAAACATGAGAAAGCTTAAGAAAACATGAGAGAAAATAAGAAAACATGAGAGAACATGAGAACACATATTAAATATGAGACAATATAAAGATACGAAATGCGGCAACAGCACTCCACTTGCACTTGCCACAAATCCATCAGTGTTAAAAACAGTTGAACACAAACCACATGCAAAGCAAGGCGGCTTACCTTTCGTTGAGTGGTTTCTGGAAGGCGAGGAGAAATTCGGGAAGGATGAGGAACGTGTGTGAAGGAGAGGCCACGCAGTTAACCGTCTGCACCGATCACAACGACGCTGCAAAACAACAGCACAGATAAAATTCGGTGGTGGCCGCGAAATATTTGCCTAAAAGCAACCAATATTGCTGCACAACAACAAACAACGATGCAGGCCGTCAACACAGGTGATTCCACGATGAAGTTCCACGCTAGAAACTGCGTAATCCCGTCTGCGTCTGAGTATCCAAATGGGAGAAGGCTTCCAGCAGCACAACCAATGGAAACACGCAATCAGTTTCCACAAAAACTATTGCAGCTGATATCATGAGGTCAGAAACAGTCTGGCAAAGAACAGAAATCAGCAAACAAAACTGTCACACTAATCAAGAACCGAGAACCAACACAAAATCACAAGTGGCGAACTCACCGCATACTTTAAAAATTTGGATTTTAAATTTCAGTATTTTTGCTGGAAGTCAGCGCTAACTGCCACCCGCCCAGCAGTGGTGCCCTTTCGCCTTAACCATAGATTTCTATGGCAGGCAGTCCTGCACACAAGTCTATGGCAAACAGTCCTATTCAAAGTCTACGGGATCGTTATAACATACAGTCTATGGCAAACAGTCCTATACAAAGTCTACGGGAAATTTTAACATACGAGTCTATGGGCCGCCGTCCGTATTGCTGCTAGTAACAAACAAACAGTGTTAAGAAATGACGAAGTTTTAGTACAGCCAGGCAGAAAATCGGAGGCCGTCGGCTACACCCAATTCGCGTTCCTGATTTTGATGAAGGCGTGCTCGTTGCCCTTTTCGTCTCCGTTGTCGTCCCATCGCTGGAGCAAATACTGCGGCACAACGGCAACGGCGTAGTATTGTCTGATGGGCAATGTGTTATGCACCTTGCTCCACCTATCCGTCCGTTCGTCGTAGCACTCCACCACTTCAGTCCAGTCACCAATATTAGTTCTGAACTTGGTTATAATTCCCCCGGCAGCGTACACTTTTCCATCCACAACAGCTAAGCGTGGAAAGGACCGCTTGTGCAGCATAGGACCTGTGGTCAGCGGCCAAGATCAAACCCCTAGCGCGCGCATTTGACGAACGATACGTGTAGTGAGTCGGCGAAACAGGTGTAAGTTGATGGTTTGGAGTCGAAGTCGATCGAACGGCTTGAACTGTGGCCACTGGTAGAAGTGCGCATACGCAATATGCCACTTAACGGCTGAAAATGGCAACCAATCAGAAGACAGTAGGTGGCGTGGACCGCGTGGTGACGGTTCTGCCCGACTGGTTAAATTTGGATGTCGCTAAAATTTTTATGAGGTGGAAAAAACATCACAGTTTGTTAAAAAGGTCAAAGTTCGCTGTATTTTATCGAATTATATCGCTAGCCTCAATTGTAAAACTAGTGACTTGCAATGGGAACTCTGCTGTGCGCGAGAGGAAGTATCAGGAAAATCTTCAAATTGGAATTTAAAAGAAATATTTGTAACTAGCGAGCCAACTAGTGTTAACAAAACAAACGAACTTGGAACGCCGTTCAACGGCTGTAATTTGCCAGCCAAGTGTGGCGTTTGCCCGCTTCTACCATTAGCCACAGTACAAGCCGTTCGATCCACTTTCGACTCCACAGTCCACACCATCAACTTACACCTGTTTCGCCGACTCACTAATGGTCTCACTTTTTTCGAAGTGCTATTTTGCCGCAGTGTTTGCGGCAAAACAGCCACTTGCTGTTTTACCGCACTATGGTCGGTACAATGGCCTTTTGCTATTTTGCCGCACAGTGCGTTACAATAGCCATTAGCTATTTGCCGCAGTATGGATGGCAAAATCGCAAAAGGTGTTTAAATGCAGTTTGCGGCAAAATAGCAAATGGCTGTTTTGACGCACTGAAGAAACCTTAAAAATGGCCTTAACCTACTTCGTTTCAGCCAACAATTCCGTGCCACATTGTAAGTCTCCACACAAGCCAGGCGGTGGAAGACTTCTTCATAATCATCCATCTCCGCGTTCCTCTCATAGTGACTTTCGCATCCGCCTACACCCGAAATCCCGGATATGAGCGTCTATAGCAACTTTACATTATACTGAGCGTCACATTTTTTTACCAATGACGTAAATTAGCCCGTTCGCGCCGACGCAGGCCGAAGCCGTATAGCGCGCCGTCGGCATCGGGGCCAACCGGCTCCACTTGTTGCTGGAGGGATCGTAGCGAAATGCCCAGTTCACTGGCATCCAGTCGATCCCACGCTTTCTTTTACACCCACCGAACACGTACAGGCAATCTTGCCACACGACATGGGCCATGCTCCAGAAATAGATTTTCTTCTTCTCCAAGAAGTCATTCCGTATTTGTAGCCAACAAGCGGTCTGTGCGTCGTAGCAATCAATTTGCCGATTGTTGGCAATTACACAGTAATTTCCGTTGAGAAGCGATAAAACAAATGAGTTACAGTCAGAGCAGAAAAGGGCAGCCGATAAGCCATCACGGGGTTTTGGATCCGAAGATGCAACCCACGTGCGCCTGACGGGCTCGTACACGTAGATGCGATGCGAGCCCACGTAGAGGCGATGGCAGACGCGCACAGCGACACGATTGTCGGGCGTCACGACAACGGACGGCATAAAGCCTTTTAACTCTGACGGCGGCCGGCAGGGCTGTCTCCACTGCGGATAGCACCGGCCCCGGCAGTGCCTTGCCGGGTCGCTGCAGCCAGTCCGACGCACACTTTTTGTAACTGGGTTCGGATGATCTGGATTAGGCGCGGTAATGTAAACCACGGTCGGCTCTGCAATGCCTCAGTTTTAACATTACGGACCGGATGTGAGAACGCAAAGCATGCACACAGAGCGACAGAGTCAAATCGACAAGTACTGACCGCTACATCCTGAACAACAAACTACGCACGACATTTTGCGGACCGACAAAGTCCTTCCCGACAATTTGTTGTTAAGCAGTTAGAGTATTCGATGGCCGACAGGTTACTGAACAACTAATTCCTCACTAGTGAAAAAAACCTAAGAAAACTTGTTAAGGTACCTAAGAACCTGAGGAAAAAAGCTCATGTTACTTACCTAAGAAAGATACTACGAAAGCTAAGAGAGTACAGAAACAAAGCAATCTTAAACGCTCGAAGAGCTCTTAAGGGTATAAACCCAATAACCAGACCTATAAGTTGGCTGTCGGTCAATTATGAACACAACGTCGGTCATCGAGGTTGTCGAAAAGCGAACTGTCGGGAAGGAAAATCACGGTCAGGAAAATGACGCGCTACCGTCACAGACGTACGATAGGAGTTGCGCGGCTTGTAATGGCGCCGTTCAGCTAGCAACTGATAGATGGCCTGACAGAAGGACACTCCCGAGGAAATTCCTTGCAAGAATTTGAGAAAGCCGGCGGTGAGATAAGCAACGCGCACCAGGCACAACATGTCCTTGGCGGCGGACATTCGTTCGGCGACCGTGACGTCCAACCAACGAAAAAGCGCCTCTCCAACGCGGTCTTCGCTGTCCACTTGCAGATCGTCCGAGCTGATTAATTCCATCACCTGACAGATTTTAATATTCACATTTTATGCAGTAATGTGTGAGTATTCAACTGTATTCCGATAAGTGAAGGGACGCTAGGGACAACTGGCCTAAGCGGAATAAGGCCTGATTTCGGGCGTCAACTATTGTGGTTCCCACCTTGTTTTTGTCCAACTCGAAAAAGGTCTGAGTCCGGTAGAAATCGAGAAAATTCTCGTAGGGATACACTCGGGCTTTCTCTGCCAAATCGGGATGAGACAGCATTCCCGCCCAGTGCGCAATGCTCCAGCAGTTCGTCAAGTCGAGATGCGACGCCAGAAATTCCTTGCAGGCCTCCACAATGTGCGGCATATCCAGCATTTCCGATGTTTGCAGCAGCGGGAGGGCGTTATCGCCGTCGATAGCGATGTCATGCGAATACATGTAACCGACCAATCTGCAAAGTGCGGTCGCCAAACATCACACGCCCCGGTTGCCTCTCCTCGTTAACAAAATTATAATACACTTTGATAGAATTATTGTTCCGATGCCGTTGCTTCTGAAACACCACTTACTGTTTCAACACGTTATGTGGAATACCGTGCAGCTGAACGAATTTCTCGCGAGATTCCTTCATTGGCGATGCGAACATTGCGGCAAAATACGGACTGTGCTTGCTTAAAACGGAGCGGTGACAGGGAATCCACTCCGACGCGGTCTCCGTGCCTTTTACGTATACGTCGTGATCCATGGGACTCGGAGTCGTTGAAAATGATTAAATTTTACGTCTCTATTTAAACGAAAGCGTCAAAACAATAATATTATGAATTATCCGCGAAAACACGCTCAAAATTTGGGTGGTTCAAAAAACAGTGCGATTGTATCCAAACGGTTACGAGAACCTGCTGTAGTTTACAATCTTGTGAGCGGCACAGTCACCCAACTGGTCGTAGACAGCTCCAGTAGACCCGGATAACTGAAATGCAAGCCTGCCGGCAATTTCGACTTGTAGTTGAACAGCATGCTGCATTTTTTGCCGCTACATGTGAAAGAATTTGGCAACCGTTATTTATTTCAGATACTGTTAGGTAAGAATCTCAATTGTGCAAACGGGTAGGTATCTGGTACAGGCAGTCGCACCGGTGCTCTGTATTAATCACGGTATGAATGTGCAAAAAAATAGAGTTTAATATGGCAGTCACTAAAGGCTGTTTGTGCCTATGCCGTGCCGGTGCGTTATAACAAGCTGCTTGTACCTAAAGACCGGGTCGATAGTTCCCGGAGATGGACCTTCAACTCGTTTGTACAAGTAATAGACCAACAAGCCAAACCAATCATAGTGTGTCATACACTACCACAGCAGTCCGCAGCCGGATGGGGCGTAAAAGGCACGATATGATATAAATAAGATAATTTATTATCGTTTTCTCTATGGCACAGCCAGTGCAGTGCGCTTAAAGCTATCCTATCGTTTTTAAATCGCTTATGACTCCGCTGAGTGTGATAATGCCCAGTACGCATTACGGAGCGTAATAGCCACGTTTTACTGAAATTATTAAGAATACTACCGTACTACAACGCGCTGACGATACTGGCAAGAAATGCCCGCAGCTATGCTGCTTAAGAGAGTCGCTCGCTCGATGTACAATCTGTACGGCGGTTGATTGGTTTACGCGAAGCGATTAAACTTCTCATATCAGTTTATTTTACAATCGAATCGCGATCGTACAGAGTGTGAAGCATAAAAACATTCATGAAGTACTGCATTACGTGAGCATGTTCAACTGCGTACTGTATACAAACAATCAGTCGGCTTGGAGGAATAAGAAACGTTTATTCTTATCGCAGATACTCGTGTGTATTTCCACGTCCACCCATTTCTTAAAAGAGTTAGGTATTTACGACTGGTACATGTTTCGGGGAAAGATCATGTCCGATTCTCCGTGTCTCCCTGAAGTATACGTGAAAGGTATGGAGACGGTGTCCCCATGGATTCCCTGCCACCGCTCCATCCTCAGCGCTAGCAGCCCGTATTTCCACTCCATGCTCGCATCGCCTATGAAGGAATCCCGCGACAGATTCATTCAGCTGCACGATATTCCCAGCGCCAAGCAGTGCGGCTGCCCCACATCGAAAGGCCCCGGCAACCGGGGTAGTGTCGTCCATGTGGGGTGGGCGTGGTCGTAGACGTACAGACGATCGTAGGCCAATACGGCCACGCGGTTATCCGGCGTCACACAAACCGATGGCGGCATCCGGCACCGGTTTGGCACCTACCTCGACGAAGGCCCATCTAGTGTGCCTCTTGCACGAGCGGAAATGGTTTTAGCCTCCGCACAGTTGCCGTGTATTCAATGGGCCGTCGCAGACGATTTCGCGCGAAAACCGGTTTTCTGACTGACACACTGGCTATAGCCAGAGATAGAACGCTGTTGGCTCCTGTATTCACAGCAACTGAGCGGAGGCTAACGGAACCTTTGGTCGTAAAAGAGGGCTACTCGTGTAACCCATTTAAGAAGAAGTTATACCATTGTCAGGTTTCGAAAAACTGATTTTTTCAAACTGCTCATACAGCAAGAATACTGTCTTATCTACAATCGAGAACAATATGAGTTCAGTATGGCGAGTTGCAAAAAAGTAGCAGAACCATTTTGGTTATTATAAGCTGTAACGGTTTCTGCTATCAACGTTGTGCGCATCGCGCACAGGCGATTCTACCGCGCAGACCACGAACACGGTATAACTTCTCGTTAAGGAAAATGGCCCGGTACATAGAGTCAAAAAGGGGATACATACACAACAAGTTTTGCTTTCGCGCACTCCGAATCATTTTTTTTGTAATACTTTATGTCATTGTATAAATTAAACTAAATAGTTTGTATACACTTACTGTTCTGAAAAAGGTTGGGTGCCCAACATCCGGTTGCCGAGATATGGCGCACTAAAATGGGCGAAAAGTTTTAAATGCATTGTTGTGCACATGAAGACGTTTCACACTGAACCAGAGAGGTACTAATTTTTAAAAGTATAAAATGAATTTGTTAATTTTTGAAATTCATTTTAGATTTAAAAACTGCTGGAGCCGTGGTTCGATGTAAAAGCGATCTGCATAGTGCATACTAATATGCATTTTTACAGGCAAAATTTTAAAGATCTGTCTATAATAGCTTGTGGTACACAGGACTTTGTTAAACGTTTGGAATTTACTTAGTTATAATTTTCCAAATGTAATTTACGTGCGCAAACGGTTTTACGCCAGTGCGTAGAAGGAATCTGATTAGAGAATGTTGTAAAATAGTGTTCCTTTATATGTATGGATATGTATATGTATGGATGCGAGCATCGCTCACAGAAATACATTCAAATGTTACGTTAAAGGAGATTGGAAAGAAGTTGTTTTTAAGGACGGGCGAGAGCCGCTCTACTTGTTTTTTGTTTCAGCGTTTAAGTTTGGAAATAATGCGTGGGAATGCCATGAGTGTGTTATGTACGGTCCCTTCTCGTGCCAACTGGGACAAAGTTTTCATTTGAATGTTGTAAAACAATGCGAGAAATAATTTAAAGTGCACGAAAGTGAAAGGTTTCGTGCATGTACACGGGTTTGGTACCATGTACGTACCGGGTCGCTTCTCTTAACTATTACAGCTCTAAGTTGGCTAGAGCTCGGCTAGAGCTTGTCTTCCATAGAAAAACTGGAATGGAGAAATGAAGGCTGGACACACCTGCGGCAGCAAAAACCAGTTCCGTGGCGAGTCGTCTTCGCCCCATCGCGGAAAACAAGATTCGCTCGGTAGACGGCAGCAGGCACTGACACAGACCTTTTGCTGGCTTGGCTCCTCCAGACTAACATAAGCCAAAACGCGCCCTGAAATAACCATGTCCACAATCTCAAAGTGCCCGACGCCTCCTCTAGCGATCTGCGCATACTGTGATTAGATAATTTAGATTCACGGGATAATTAGAAATTCGATCTCGCAGCTGACGCTTCCTCGTGCAAACGCAACAGAAATTTCTGAATTTACAACCCAACGCGTGCATCTTAGTAAGCTCGATCGGCGCTCACTAAACCAAAGTACTGCCAGTTTTCTTCAGAACCTTTGCCTTACATACACCAGTCGAGTCCTATACGATTTTGCCTGCGTATGCAATTCGTTTTTGATGACCTGTCTGTCCCGCTGCAGCATGCATGGCCTGATGCAACTTGTGCCCGGTGGAGCTCGTCTGCAGCGACGTGATGCAGACGGGACTGAGATACGGCACGCGAACCAAGGAGGCCATTTCCATGGCGGCAGACATACGCCGGTCAACGTCACAGTCCAGCCAGCGGTGAAGTGCCTCCGCTACCATATCCTCGCTGTCAACTTGCAGACCGTCCGCGTCGAGCAGTTCTGACACCTGCCGGAAATGTGTTCGCCACTCAGTTTCCATAAATCAACCAAACCTGCTTCTGAAGTACGAGCAAGCAGCATTATTCTATCAGCGATTCGTACTTGGCTTTTATCTAATTCCAGAAAGTCCGCCGACTGCGAAATATTGGTAAAATTTTTGATGCAGAGGAGCTTGGCTTTCTCAGTGAGGTCCCGCTGCGACAATAGTCGCGCCCAGTATAAGATCACACAGCCGTTGCTGGCATCGAGATGCGGCTGCAGGAAGTCGATGCACTACGCCGCAATGCCCGCTTGTTTCTTTTTATTCGGGCAATAGCCAATTAACATACGTAACAACAAGCCTGGTTCGCAGTCCCGGTTCACAGTACAAAAACAAAGTGCAGCGATTCGTGGGACCGGGCAGTAAACGGCTTTAAACCATGTAGCCTGGTTCTAGGCGGCAGGACTGACTGCATAAAATCACCAGATATTCCGTCACTGCTGTTTTGAGCTGCTGACAGCGCCCCTTCAGGCGTGCGCTATGATAAGTTGAGCCATAACAACAGAGAACAATTTGACGGAACGATGTTCCTTCACAAGTGATTTTGCATTAATTTACTGCACACTGCACAGATTTGAAAAGAGCACCGAGCACGATTTCATTAAGATCAGGAACGCGAACCGGGTGAAGCCGAAGACCTCTGATTTTCTGCCGGGTTGTACGAGCGCTTCGTAATTTTTGTGCCACTGCTGCAGGTTTCTGAAGATAGCGATGACACTGCTATTATTTGGCGAGACCGCTATCTGACCTTACTAATTCTATCTAACCGCTATCTAACCTATCTAACCTTACCTTACGGTTCTTTAATCAACAAAACACAGCGGTTGCGCAGTGCTTCTTGCTAATGCATTTCATCAGACTGCGCAGCCGAGAACAAAACATCAAAGTTGATCAGGCTGTACAGAGCAGGAAAAATAAGAAAAACCGTGAAACTTTTGTGCAAAAACGGGAAAAATACAAGAATAGAACTAATATCTGCTAGCAAAGTACGCGGCGTCCTGCGCGCGAAAACGACAGTTCGGTCACTTTGGTGTACATGGTTAACATTCAACGTACAAGCCGTCTTCAAAACAAGGCGCCCTTTACTCATCGGAATCGCTGGTTACATAGTCCTCATCATCCCAGTCCTCCATGCAGCGCGATAAGGCGCACAGGCAGAAGTGATTCAGCTGGCGAACGTCCACGCAGGCCATATTGTACAAGGACCATCGGTGTGCCCGATACTGCTCCTTGAAACGCGGATCCCCGGCTTGGTAGGTTTCCAGAATCTGCAAAATTATCAGTGAATTAATTACCGAAACTATATAAATTAGCAGGTACTTGTTAACGGTTTTCGACGTTGGGTCCGAAGTCTTGGGCTAAGTTTCAGTGTTTTAAATCAACAATGTTTAAAAAGTATAACGAAGCCATTTTAAAACTGAGCGAAATTAGCGGAAATGGGGTCCCGCGAGAAATTCATCTTCGCATTTAAGAATGTGGATGTAGGAAATCCGAATAAGAGCGGAGGTCAGAAGCTTCGGTAATCCGCGTGTTTGAAAAACTTGTGCATTTAAAAGATCATTGTAATCGGGGTGGGAAAACTGTCATGACGACGCTATGCACGCCTGCACATAGCCACATAGTACCTTTCTCACTGCTCTGGCCCTCTCTGCACTGATAATCCCATTGAGCATGCACTCTTCTATGCGCCGCACATTCACCGGCGGCCCCTGACTGCGCAGATGCTTCTCCGACAGCTACACAACTTCGTCAACATCGACGTACCACCCGCTGAGGACCTCGAGGGGAACGCGGATTTCCATAACGGTTAACTCTTCATTCATCACGCTAAGGACGAAATCCTTGACAATCACCCGCTGACAGCGTGCCATCAACGCATACCGAGGCCAGAACAAGCCCGCGGTCATCGCGGAGGACATGGCGCCCAATGTCGATGCCTTCAGTTCGTGCTCATGGAGGCTGGTCGCTCGGCGGCGCAGGACGAGACGGTGGAGGCGGATGCCGGTGCGCTGCAGGAGATCCCCCGTAAAACTGAAGACCGGTTTTGCCAACGTTCCGT